ATACACCGTTAGTCATGTAATCCAACATTTTTCTCAAACAAAATCGATCAAACGTAAATCTGGTGGTGGAAGAAAGAAGGGTTTTAAAGATAAAAAACTAGTTAGAAAACTGATTAACAGTTTTAAGACTAACTCAAGCCTTTCACTAAGGGAGCACGCAAACATTTATGGACTTTCTCATAGTTTTGTTGTGAAAGTTCGAAATAAACATGGTTTTCATTCTTTCAAAGCACAAAAAGTGCCCAACCCATCTGAAACTCAACAAAAAAGTGCAAAAACCCGCTGCAAAAAGTTGTATGACAATTTTATTTCTAAAAATTTCTGTATTATTGAAGACGATGAAACTTATATCAAGTATGATCATCAGCAATTTCCTGGTGCTGTCTATTATATTGCCAAATATAATTAGGGGTAAGCAGAAAAATTCTGCTAAACAGCCTCGAACCCCTTCTTCATCTATTAGGCTGGCGTAGATGTAACCTGTGTTACATTGTTTCCTGCCTAGGATGATAAATGCTGGATCTCCTTGACTCTACTCATAGAATTTTGCTTATGCCTTGATAATGGCTATGCAACTCTTCCTGTTATCTCCATATGAGGGTACAACTCTAAAACTCAGTTTAATGGTTCTGAGGCCGGCTAGTAGTAAGGTTTCCCGAACTCTGTGATAGCTCTCAGAGAGACTGATTCCATCAATAGCTGCAAAATATCAGAGTATTAACAGCCATGTTGCGCATGGATGGTGCCCTGTTAATGCTTTTAGTGTGCATTGTCAAGGCCACATAAGGAGCCCTATGTCACAGCTTAGGGTTAATTAACAGGACTGAGAGAACTGCAAAGCTCATTGATTAGGAGGCTGTACTCTATCTATGAATGAGTCAAGTTCTCATTAAACCCAAATCATGACCAAAGTAGCCAAAAATTTTAAACCTAAAAACCATTCCCACCACCTAAAAGTTTTAATATATCTTTTACAAATATTCGCGGTCTGCGAAGCAACTTTCCGTCAGATGAGTCTTACCTCCTGCAAAATTCACCAGACTTGCTTGCACTCAGTGAAACAAATTTAAATTCTGCAATTCCTTCTTCAGATGTCAGTGTTGATGGGTACTATCCTTTGATTTGTAAAGACTTCAATAGTCACATGCTAGGTTTAGGGGTATACATACGCATTAATTCCCCTATTTGTTGTGAAATCAGGTTCAAATCCTTTGACCATTCTTTTATGTGCTTTCGCCTAGCACCTCTTTACTCTATCACCTTTCTCTTTGTTCTTTATCGTTCTCCTTCTTCCCATGATTGCACTCTTTTAGATGTTATCTCTGATCAAATTGATCATGTCCTCTCTCTTTACCTCTCTACCAATATTGTTGTTGCTGGTGATTTTAATGCCCATCACATTGAATGGCTTGGCTCTAACACCACTGATCCTGCTGGCACTAAATCCTTTAACTTCTGCATTTCTCAATCTCTTACTCAGATAGTTAACTTTGTGACTCGTTTTCCTGACAATCCTAATCATTTACCTTCACTCCTTGACTTATGTTTTGTCTCTGACCCTAGCTTATGTTCAGTTTCTTTCTTTTCTCCCTTAAGTGGTTCTGACTATGCAATGATCTCCATAAATCTTTCTTCTTGTACTTCTTTTTTGGACTCACCTTATCATCACACCACCTACTACTACCCTAAAGCTGACTGGGATTCTTTTCATGATTTTCTTTGTGATGGTCCTTGGGCTAATGTTTTTCTCTCTCAGCTGATAAATGCGCCTCCTACGTAACCTCCTGGATTCAGGCTGTATTGGAAGCTTTTATTCCTTCTCATCGGTTTTAAGTCAAGCTTCATTCTACTCCATGGTTTTCTCCTTCTTGTGCGGCTGCTGTATCCAATCGTAATCATTTTTTTCATCTTTTTCAAAAAAACAACTCTCTTGAGAACAAACGGCTGTTTATTATTGCAAGAAATCAATGTAAAAAGGTGCTTTCTGATGCTTAACTTCATTATTCTCAGTTCACTAAATCTCGCATCTTATCACAGGAGTTACGCTCTAAAGATTTTTGGAAAATCTTCAACAGCATTATTAACAAGGGTAGATCTATGAATCTTATGGACATTCTCTTCCTTCCATTCTAGTCAAACAGGTTGACCCATTGTTGAACATTCAAATCACTCCGGCTTCTGTTGCTAAAGTCATATCTCAATTAAACTCGTCTACAGCTTGTGGTCCAGACAACATTCCTGTCACAGTCTTGCAAAATTGTTCTCCAGAACTTTCTTCAATTCTCTCTAAATTATTTAACAAGTAATTGACTGAGTCTTGTTTTCCTGCTTGTTGGAAAATGGCATCTGTGGTTCCAATATTCAAAAACTCTGGAGAAAATTCTGACCTTTCCATTTATTGTCTGATCAGTCTTCTTTCTGTTATTAGCAAGGTCTTTGAGTCTTTGATCAACAAATTCCTCACATCTCATCTTGAGTCAAATAAACTACTGTCAGACAATCAATACGGTTTTCGATCCTCTCGCTCTACGGCCGACTTGCTAACTGCTGTAACTGAAAGATTTTATCGTGCATTAAATGGAGGCGGTGAGGCTAGGGCTATAGCTCTCAACATATCTAAAGCTTTCGACAAAGTTTGGCATGCTGGTCTTCTCCATAAGCTTGCTTTATATGGTGTTTCTGGGAAAGTTTTTGAGATTATCAAATCATTTCTTTCTAACCGGTTTATTAAAGTCATCCTTGAAGGTCATCACTCATTTTTATTTCCAGTAACTTCTGGAGTTCCCTAAGGTTCCATCCTGGGCCCTGTTTTGTTTCTTATCTACTTAAACAATTTTCCTAACAACCTTTCATCTAAAGTAGCTCTTTTTGCTGATGACTCAACTTTATACTCTTGACAAAAAGTCTTCTCTTTTCGATCGCCTAGAACAAGCAGCTGATCTTGAATTCGATCTCACTTCAGTAAGAGATTGGTGTTCACAGTGGCTTGTGAATTTCAACTCTAACAAAACCCAGTTGTTTACTGCAAACAACTATCGTAATATGGTCAACATTCTTATATTAATGAATGGCAATCCTCTTACTGAGTCCTCCTCTTTACGTTTTCTTGGATTATCGCTTACTACTGACCTTTCATGGAAACCATATATACAATCGATTGTTAAATTAGCTTCTGCTAAGATTGCTTTTTTTTATCGTGCTTGCCCTTACCTTACTTCTGATTCCATTCTCTACCTCTACAAATCTCTTATTCGTCCCTGTATGGAATACTGTTGTCATATTTGGGCTGGTTCTTCTAGCAATTCACTTTCTCTTCTTGACAAGGTCCAAAAACGCATTGTAAATATTGTTGGACCTGGACTATCTGCTAAGCTTGAGCCTCTTTCCCATCGTTGTAAAGTTGCATCTCTTTTCTACAAATTCTATCGTGGTCACTGCTCAAAGGAGTTATCATCTCTAGTTCCATCAACTAAAATTCATTCTCGTTTTACTCGTCTTTCAGCTAAGTCTCACTCGTTTACTGTATCTGTCCCTGCATGCTCTAAAAACTTTTATTCATCTAGTTTTTTCCCCCGCACTTTAATCCTTTAGAACTCTCTCCCATCTTCATATTTTTCTGACTCATACAACCTTCAACTTTTCAAGTCTTCTGTCAACCGTTTCCTTGCTCTATAACTCTGTTCTTTTTTTTTCCTAGCAACTCCCAACTTAATAGTGGTTGCATGCAGCCTTGTTGGGAGTGAATGCAAATAAAAAAATAAAAAATATGTTAAAGAATGTTTACAAAAATGCCTTTTACCTCTCATTAAATCACACAATAAGAGACCTGTGTTCTGGCCAGATTTAGCTTCAATTCATTATTGTAAACTAGCTTTGGAATGGTATAAAAATAATAATTTAAAATTTGTGCCTAAAACAAAAAATCCTCCAAACTGCCCAGAATTAAGAGTTATTGAAAAGTACTTGGCCATCATTAAAAGAAAAATGAAAAAAACAAAAAAACTTAGCAGAAATATAAAAGATATTAAAATATCATTTAAAAAAGCATCAAATGGCTTCAATTCTTATTCTGTGCACAAGCTTATGGGTACCACCAAAGCAAAAGTTCGAAATTTTATTAGATTTCCATAGAAATAATTTGATTTTTTTTTTATATTTGATCTTCTTATATTATTGTATTAAAGTTATTACTTGGTTAGAAATAAAAATTGAAGAGTACTTTTTTTTAGTTATTTTTCTACTTTCACATTTATTTCGTGTACACGCTTTATAATAAATTCAAAATATTGTAAAAATGTTGACAAACATTTTACAACTATTTATTACAAATTTTGTTAATCTAAACTTAGTCATTATTTAATTATGTGCCTTCTAAATTAATTTATAGAAACCTGTTTATTTGGTGTGGAATTGGTGCGGAAGAAGTAAAGTGCTCGCTTTGTAAACAAGTTCTGAGTTTGATTCAGAATAGTTTTTTGAATATATAATGATAAATGAAAATAAAATGTAATATCTTTGGATTAAAATAACAAAAACTTGTATGTATGAAAGAATATTGGAGCTAAATCAAAAAAAAAGTGTAAGAAACCATTCTTTGTTGAAACCAAATAAAAACAAGTAAAAAAATCCTTATATTCACTTGCTCAACTGTTAATGTAAAAATTAATTAATAAGGGTTAGTGTGTTTGATTAATGTGTCATTGTGCTCAAATAATTTTTTTATAAATAGATTTTAGTTATTATTTTTAAATTATTTCTAGAATATTCTAGAATATAGTACATGCTTTATAATAAATTCAAAAACTTCTGTCATATTTTATGTAATTAGAGAACTTGACACAATCATAGATATATCAAGGTTTCCCAAGTAATAAGATACGTTGTTTTCAAAGTTTAAATTTTTATTTTCATGAAAATAAATTAAAATATATATGCATAACATGTGTAAAAATAAAGTTTATATGATGGTTTTTAATTTTTCTTTTTTTATTTTGATATAGATTTTTCGAATTTCTAACACTGGTAATTCTCAGTTTACTTCTGGAAATATGGTAAACCTGATGATAGTGGATACACAAAAGTGCTATGATCTATTAACTTACCTCAATTTAGTGTGGTCTTGTCCTCTTCAAATTATAATAGTATTTTTTTATCTTTATTTTCTTATGGGATGGTCGGTTCTTGCTGGTTTGTGTGTATTAGTTTTATTTATTCCTCTAATCAGCTTTTTTTCAATTTATGAGAAAAAATTGCAAGCTAAGCAAATGATGTTTAAAGATAGTAGATGCAAGATTGTAAATGACATTTTTGCAGGTATTCATACTTTGAAGTTCAATGCATGGGAAGGCAGTTTTATGGCCAGAGTATTAAATTTTAGGAATAATGAGTTAAAGTTAATCAAGAGAGCAATGCTTTTGCAAGCTAATCACAGTTTTGTATTGACACTTGCTCCAATTTTAGTTTTTGTTTCAACATTTACAGTATATGTTTTACTTGGAAACGAACTAGATGCTAAAAGGGCTTTTGTAGCTATATCTCTTTTTAGTATTATTAAATTTCCTTTGCTAAGTTTACCACTAGTCGTATCTATAATTGCTCAATACAATGTGTCAGCAAAAAGACTATTTAATTTTTTAAAAAGCGAAGAGTTAGATCCAGTATCTATTTCAGATGACATTAGTTATGAAAATGCTATTGAAATACAAAATGGAACATTTAGATGGAACATTCATGAAGAACCCATTTTAAATAATATTAACCTTAAAATTCCAGTTGGAAGCTTAACAGCAATTGTTGGTCATGTGGGTTCAGGAAAGTCATCCCTAGTTTCTGCAATACTTGGTGAAATTGAAAGAGTAAATGGAAAAGTGTATGTTAAGAGTAGTATTTCCTATGTTTCTCAGCAGCCATGGATTCAAAATAGAAGTTTCCGTGACAATATCGTTTTTGTGAGTGATTATGAAAACAATTTGTATGATAAAATTATCAATGCTTGTGCGTTGAAAGCTGATATTGACTTACTGCCAGATGGAAATCAAACTGAGATTGGTGAAAAAGGAATTAACTTAAGTGGTGGTCAGAAGCAACGCATTTCAATTGCAAGAGCTGTTTACCATAATTCAGACATATACCTTATGGATGATCCATTATCTGCAGTTGATACTCATGTTGGAAAACATATTTTTGATCAGGTTATAGGAAACAATGGACTTTTAAAAAATAAGGTACAAATTATGTTTATATTTATTATCTTTTTATTAATTTGAATAATATAAAAAATAGGCAATTAAATAGGCAAAAGGTTTTGTCTAATTAATAAATTAGATAATTGATAAATAACTTAAATATATGTTTAGAAATATCTTTCTTCTTTGTTTAAAAAATTACCAAAATTTAATTTTTTTCAGGATTAAAGTGTCAATATTCAATTTTTCTTCCTTGATACTAAATCAATATCTTATTAATAATGTTCATTGGGTTTTGTAATGAATATGTAATATGTAACACATAAGCATAATCGAGTTCAAAACATAATAAAGTTTTTTCATTTGCTAAATTTTTTTTTTTTTAATCTCAATGAACATTAAGTTTTTTAAAGCACTATGTAAATAACTTTCTTCTCCACACAGCAACCTTGGGAACAAGGTTGCTGTGTGGAGAAGAAAGTTAAGTACTGAATTACTAGGGACATATTTGATATTGAACTTGGAACTTCTTCCTTACAAAGCAAACAATTCTAACGCATTCTTATTTATTTAATCACTAACTTTTAGATCATTAAATTACTTTAAAATATTTAATCACCAAGTTATTTTTAGATACTTATAAATACCATACTTATTCATTTCTTTATAGATTTTAAAATAAAGCGTTTTTAAATACCTTACTTAGATTATTATTTATATACTTTATTATTTAGATATTATTTTATCAGCATCTTTTAGACTTGTTCTTACTTAGTAAAAGGTTTTTTAGGTTATAAGTTTGCATTAAAATTTACAATATATATTAAACCTAATTATTTATTAGAAAGTCTGTATATGCAAATATTTTTTGTTTTAGACTCGTTTACTTGTTACTCACAACCTATCATATTTGCCTCAAGTTGATCAAATCATTGTTATTAAAGACAATACAATTTCTGAGGTATAAGTAATACCAAATTATATAGATATAAAGTACATATATATATATATATATATATATATATATATATATATATATATATATATATATATATATATATATATATATATATATATATATATATATATATATATATATATATATATATATATATATATATATATATATATATGAGTAATAACAAAAAAAAATTCTTTATGAAACCACTTGCAGTTGATGAAACTTTTTGTGTTATTTAAGAATATAAATAGCTTTTTTTTTCTATAAAAAAAAGCTAAAAAAAACCTTATTCCCCTCTTTATTTGGAAACAAAAAGTGAAAAATTTTTTTCTAAAAAAAAGACATGTTTTTTTTTTCATTATTCAAAAGAATAATGGTAATGAATAAGCAACTTTTATTAACAATTAAGAAACAAAACAGTTAGTTATTTGTACAAAATATACAAGAAATATTTAAAAAGTATTTTTATGAATTTTTATTTAAGTATTTTATGAACTTCAGATTCAAAAATTAATTTTTTCTCAATTTTGAATGAAGTTCTTCCATTAGTTTTACAGCACATTCAGCAAATTGGTTAGATCTGGGAATGTCAATTGATGATTCCTCTATTGACCAATGTGTCTTTAAACACTTAATTGTCTTCTTGCATTTTATCTTGATGAGTGAGAAAAGGAGTTTATTAAAAAAGGTTTCATTGTAGTGTTGCAAATGAAATCAAGCATTTGCTTATTCGTAGCAGATAAAGTTGCATGCTGGAGCAAGGATGCTGCGCTTATCTGGTATCAGAAAAGAATGCTAAACCAGCATATATCACATGTGAGTTCCATATTGCTAATTGTAAATTTGGGAGTTTTTTCCAACTGATTTGAGGCCAAGGTAAAGTTGTTTATAATGACAATGTTCCTAACATAGTTCATGCAAGAACTTGAAATCATCTCGCCATCCAGGGTTCTAACATTCAGTGCTAACATCATCTGTCGCAACAAAGTGGAAATCAGCCTGAAGAGATATATAGTTTTCTGTTAACTTGTCAATGAAAAAGCAGTTTAGTTCTGGTTTGCTTGTTGGTATTTGAATATGAAAATTCATGACATGTTACCAAAGGAGGTCAATTACATGGTGCTGACAGCCAATATAATGTGGTTTCTGAAAGCCTTTGCTTGAGACATTAACCTGTATGAGCTTTTCGATCCCATGCAAACTACAAGTGTTTACTGTGGTCGTGTAACAGATTATCAAATACTGGCATATATTTGTGCTAGTATTTTGTAAATATGGACAGATACAGTAAAAGAATGCAACTTGTTGAATAAGAAGCCAAGCAAGAATGAGTTTTGGTTTATTTTAATAGAGATGATAGCTCATTTGAGCATTAATCATTATTAGAGTAACATCATAAAAGAGTAAGGCTAAAGCCTGATGCTGCTGCTACTGATGATGATGATGATGATGATGATGATGATGATGATGATGATGATGATGATGATGATGATGATGATGATGATGATGATGATGATGATGATGATGATGATGATGATGATGATGATGATGATGATGATGATGATGATGATGATGATGATGATGATGATGATGATGATGATGATGATGATGATGATGATGATGATGATGATGGTTATAAAAAAGTTCCCACACCTTTTTACTTAATTTTGTTCACTTATCGCGCAGTTTGATTAGGGGTTTTACAATATTATATAATTTTTACAATAAATTTTTTTATGACATTCTAGTCTACATTTCTTCCAGTTAGTCTAGTTCTTCAACTTCTAGACAGGTTCCAGTAAGTAAGTGACCGGGGTTGATATTTGATCAGGGCCATGGCCAGGTTTGATAAAATATAGCTGGGGCCAGTGCTGGGCCCAGCTATATTTTATCAAACCTGGCCATGGCCTATATATGTATCATAAGTGTTACATATATATATATATATATATATGTAACACTTATGATAGCTATAGTAATTCTATAATCATTAGATCACCAAAAGATTATTAGTTATAACCTTAATATAAATATATATGTATGTGTATATATATATATATATATATATATATATATATATATATATATATATTTGTATATATATATATATATATATATATATATATATATATATATATATATATATATATATATATATATATATATATATATATATATATATATATATATATATATATATATGTAACACTTATGATAACTATAGTAATTCTATAGTCATTAGATCACCAAAATATTATTTTTTTTACCATCCTGTTTATTTTATTTTACTGAGAGTTTTTTATTACACCAGTCTTGACACAAAATTTAAAATATATATATGTAGAAATCTTTCCTTAATTTTACTTCAAGTGAAATTTATGTGTTTAAATTTATTTAAGAAATGTTTCAGCTAATTATAAAGTACAAAAAATACATTAGCATTAAAAATTATTTTTATTATAGTTTTTTCATAAAAAAAATATTGATGGTAGCAAGAGATCATTTTTTTATTTTTTTATTAAATGTACATTAGTGGCATTCTAATACAGTATAAAATTTTTATTGGGGTTTGTCTATAGGGTTTTTCTATATTGTGTAAAGCTGCAAACAAATTCTTTTTGTTCTACTCTAACTTGACTATCAAGCTCTTCCCATAAATTTTCAATGGGATTTAGGTCAGGACTTTGGGTAGGTCGCAAAAATTTTAGTCAAACTTTTCTTATTCGAGTAATTCTTATTCGAATTGGATCTTTTAGAATTTTTTCTAAAAGATCTGGGTTTTCTAAAGTTGCATGTTTTTATTTTGATATATGCACATATAAGCTGTTTGGATACTCCAAATTGACAAGCAGCTTTCGCTTCTGTAATTCCACAATAATTTCATGCATTTACTAGTGAATTACAATAATCTTTACTATATTGCATGTTTTTTCCCATTTTTGAATGTGATTTAAATAATTTTTAATAAAATTTGCTGAAAAATTTGACAAACTAAAGTTTTGTAAAAACGTCACAAAGTGCAATTATTTATTTAAAAAATTCCACAAACTAAAGTTTTGTGAAAACGTCACAAAGTGCAATTATTTATTTAAAAAATTCCACAAACTAAGGTTTTGTGAAAACGTTACAATTATTTATTAAAACAAAAAAAAACTTCCAAAAATTAAAGCTTTACTTGTATGGGTGTAAATTTCACAAACAAAAAATGTTTTAAATATTTTCCATTGAAAAAGTTGTTGCACAAAAAAAAAAGCCAAAATGCTTGAACACTACTGTAAATACTGTATAACAAATTATGTGTCCTAATAAGACCTAATTGGCCAAATCGTTTGATTTAATTTTTGAAAAAATCAAATTTTTGCTAACCAATTTTTTCTCTTTTTTTTTTTTTTTTTTTTTTTTTTTTTTTTTTTTTTCTGTCATTTTTCTTAATGAGTTTGTAAACAATAAAAGTTTAACAAACAAAAAATTATTTTTTAAAAGTAAAACAAAAAGTATTTTTTTTTTTGTTAAATAGGTTGGAAGTTATGAAGAGTTAATAATGAATGGCCATGCTTTTTCAGAATTTATTAAGACATACTACTGTAATGTATATAATGAAGAAGCTGTCAAGGATAATCAATTAAAAAATAACAACATCTGTAAGTGTTAAAAGGAAGTTGGTAAATATTTATACTCAGTTAATAATTAATATTTTAAAAAGTTTTGGGTTTCTTTTTAGAATTTTTTTTTAAAGTTCATATTAGTTTTTTAGATATTTTATTTATAGATCACCAAGAAAAGGTTAGAGTTATTTCTAAACAAGCAAGTATTGAAAAATTATTAAACTTAAAAAGTTTTGCAAATTCTTTTGCATCTAGAAGACGTGTATCGCTATTTGAAATTATGAAAAATAATAGATTAATTGATGCATTTTATGAGTTTGAAAAAAATGAAATTTATGAAAAAGAGGCTTCTAAAATTCTAAATCGTCAGGAAAAATTAGAGACATTATGCAATGAAAAACAAACCAAAGATTTATGTTCTAAGGAAGTTTTTAAAACTGGAAAGGTAATGATAGAAAAACTTTTATAAATTTTTTTAACAAAAATTTAAAATTTCTACTAATAATTTAATACTTTCTCACTTCTTCTTAACTTCTTGGTAACTTTCAATATTACTAAAAGGTGTCAGGGGTGTGTTAAGAAAATTTTTTGGACTAGTCCAAAAAAAGGTTATGTCCCTTCTCCTTTCCTTTTTTTTTTAGTTTTAACTGGATTGAGAGAATTTATAAAAAATTTTAATAACTTTTTAAATGACTTATAATATTGCTAAAATGGTCACCAAACCTGAAAATATGACTTTTTCAAATTAAAAATTTGTTTTTTGAAAATTCTCATCTATATAATGTATAATATATACAGGATATAAGTTTTTAAATACAAGATTCCTCTAGACAAAATTCATGACCATGATATTACCATAATAAATAATGATATTACCATAACAGATAAAAATTAAATAGTAAATCCAAAGCATATTTAAAGGTTATAAATATAAACAGTTAACAATATTTCTAAGCAAAAAGATAAAATCTTTTAATGCTTGAATAAGATTTAAACTATATAATTGCTTGCACAATTAATTAAAAAAAATTTATTACAAGCATGTCTTTTTTATACACAGTACAACAATGAAATCAAAATTTGTTATTTTCTTTAGTAGAAGAAGCAGTAGCAAAGGTTGCACGATTAAATATTCTATCAATATTTAAAGACATTCTTTGAGATAGAAAACCTCAGAAAAAAAAGTATCCATGCCATGATTTCACAATTCCTTATATTCCAAGAAAAATCAGAAATAGCTTTTATTAAAACTTGTTGTCTATTGGAATTTTTAGTACTAAAAAAACATAATGATTTGTACAAAAAGGCAGAAAAATCATTCAAAGCTCTTTCATAACTTAAGATATAAGACTCTTTGAAAACAAAGGGGATAATAATTTTTATAAAGGATAAACAGCTAATTAATAAATTATAATTAATAAGTCCTAAATCTGGATATACACATTCTAATTTTTTGCTACATATGCTTGATTATCCAAAAAAAATCAAGGAATAATGGAAATGATTTTTTTCTAATTTTTTATTTGAAAGAAATAATTTTTTTCTCCAACAGAACAATTTTTTCTTTGAAATGAAAATTTCAAAATTTTTTCTTTGAAATGAAAATAAGATGTGAATTAAGTAACATTTTGAACTAATCAACTGCTATATTTTATGTTTAATAAAAAAGGCACTATACCACTACTGCAGTTAAACAATAAAACTTAATAAAAAATTTACTCAAGGTGTATGTAAAAAGGAAAGTCCAAAATTTGTACTAACTGAAATAATCATTTTTATTTTTTATAAACTAATGAAAGAAATTGTTTTAAAAATAAAGCTTTATATAACAAAATAAGGTATATCAAATTATGTTTCTATTTAAGTTATACAACTCAATATTTAGTTTAACCTCCATCAAAATATTGTATTTTTTTTTTAAATAATTGTAAAATTATGAAACTGAAATACTTTTATGTTTTCCCATTTTTAACTTCTTTCCAACCGTTTGAGATCGTTAACCATGCATAATTTGTTTAGTTTTTGTTTGGTTTTAATAGTTTTTTTATAGTAAAACTTTTCAACAATCAAGTTGAAAAACTTTTAATTAATTTTTTTGCGTACATCTAATGATTTAACAAACATTCACAGATACCAGTGGAGTACTATACCTTGGGTGTGGAACTCCACTGGTAGCACTCTAAATGTGAATACATTAAATTTCTGCTCAGTTACAACTTTTATACAAATTAAATATGGTAGACTTTTGCACTTGTTAAAATACTTATGGTAGACTCTTTCACTCATAAAAATTAAAGTGGTAGGCTTTTAATTTTGATGAAATAACATATACAAGAGCTAAAAAAAGGCTTAAATAATAGAAAAAGGTCTAAAATCATAATTACAGTTTGATTAGTGTCATAAAGTTGATTTAATTATTGTAACATATTGCTTGCAGGAAGTAATTTCTTTTAACTACCCTAGGTCAAGTCAGGTTTAGGATATTCAATTCTTGTAGAATTTGCTTTTTTTTAAGCAAATGCTAGGAAAAGTAAAAGCTGAGTTGAAAATTCTCTACATTGAGTAAAGGCTAGAAATGGTGTCTCAAGAAAAATAATTATCTTGGGCAGATGTTAACTGTATCTAGCTACTGTTTTGTAGAAGTTCTTAAAGGCAATGACTTTAAGGGTAAGCAGAATAATTCTTTTAACTAACCTTAAACCGTTTCTTCATCAATCAGGCTAACATAGATGTAAACCTGTAAAATTGTTTCTTGCCTGGGATAATGAATACTGGATCCTCATGGCTCTACTTATAAATTTTTGTTTTTGCCTTCTTGATAGTGACTATGCAACTCTTCCTGTTATTTTCTAATGATGATACAGCCTGTCTACCATACAGTCTGGCTGGTAGTAAGATTTCCTGAACTCTATGGTAGCTCTCAGAGCTACTACAGAGTTGGTGAAATGAATGGTTATGACTTTGGATTAATTAGCAAGACTGAGACAATTGCATAGCCTATTAATTGAAATGCTGTGCTATATCTATGAATGAGTGAAGTTTTTTTTAAACTAAAAACATATTCTCTTTAAACTTAAAACATGACTAAATATTAAACATAAGAAAATATCCCTTGCCACCTAATTATTTAAATATATCTTTCACAAATATTTGTGGTCATCGACGTAACCTTCTATCCTTTGAATTTACTTTGTTTCACAAAGATTTTAATAGTCACATGTTTGGATTGGAGGTACACTTGTGCATTAATTTACCTATTTGATGAGCAATCAGGTTTCAATAATTTGACCATTCTTTTTTGGGCTTTCTCTTATATATATATATATATATATATATATATATATATATATATATATATATATATATATATATATATATATATATATATATATATATATATATATATATATATATAAGAAAAAGCCCAAAAAAAAATGGTCAAATTATTGAAACCTGATAAAATATGTTTATGTATATATATATATATATATATATATATATAAACATATTTTATCAGGTTTCAATAATTTGACCATTCTTTTTTGGGCTTTCTCTTATATATATATAATATATATATATATATATATATATATATATATATATATATATATATATATATATATATATTTTAATTATCTTCGCTTCCAACAAGGTTGCAAGCAACCACTAATTAGTGTTGGAAATTACTGGAAGAGAAAAGATGAAGATTGTAAAGCAAGATAACGATTGACAGACGACTTAAAATATTGCAAATTATATGAATCAGGAAAGCAAGATAAAAGAAGCGAATTCCAAAGAACTGATGTTCGAGGAAAAAAACTAGACGAATAAGAGTTTTTGGAGCACTTAGGAACAGTAACAGAAAAAGGATGAGACTTAATTGAATGACAAGTAACACGAGAATGAATTTTAGTAGATGGCACAAGAGACGCTAGCTCTTTAGAGCAGTGCCCATTATAGTATTTGTAGAAACGAGAAAGAGAAGCAACATTACGACGATGTGACAGAGGTTGAAGGTTGGCTGCAAGAGAAGGTCCAACTATGTTTACAATGCGTTTTTGCACCTTGTCTAAAAGAGAAAGGGCATCATTAGAAGATCTGCCCCAGATATGGCAACAGTATTCCATACAAGGCAGGATTTGAGATTTATAGAGATAGAGAATAGAATCCAGAGTAAGAAAGTGACGAGCTCGATAAAGAGAAGCAACTTTAGCAGATGCTAATTTTGCAACGGATTTGATACAAGGTTTCCAAGAAAGATCAGAAGTAAGAGTTAATCCTAGAAGATGAAGGGTAGGAGACTCATCGAGTACATTACCGTTCATAAATATAGGAAGGTCTAAATTATTGCGATAACGATTGGCCGAAAAAAATTAATGTTTCCAGATACACCATAAGAAGAAAGCTTATGGAGGAGACCAGCATGCCAAACTTTATCAAACGCTTTAGAAATGTCAAGAGCAATGGTCTTAACTTCTCCACCTTTATCTAATGGGCAATAAAACCTATCGGTTATTACTGATAGCAAATCAGCCGTAGAACAAGAAGATCGAAATCCATACAGATGATCAAAAAGTAGGTTATGAGATGAGAGATGAGAGATTAAGTGTTTGTTAATTAAAGATTCAAAAACCTTACTTATGATAGGAAGAAGACTAATGGGACGGTAGTTAGATGAGTCAGATCGCTCTCCAGAATTTTTAAAAATAGGGATAACAGATGCTGCTTTCCAGCAGGCTGGAAAACAAGACTCTGATAAGCACTTGTTGAATAGTTTTGAAAATATAGACGACAGCTCAGGAGAACACTTCTGCAAGACTATAACAGGTATGTTGTCCGGGCCGCAAGCTGTAGAAGAGTCTAAGCAGGAAATCACTTTAGATACAGAAGCTAGAGTGATACGAATGTCGAGCAATGGATCAACCTGTTTGACGGGTATATCAGGTAAAACGCAACTAGTGGCATCTTTATAAATATTGTTGTTATTGGTGACTTTAATGCTCTTCACAATAAATGCCACTTACTCTGCTGACACTAAAGCCTAAAACTTCTAAATTTCTCAATCTCTTACCTAAATAGTTAATTTTGTGACTCGTTTTCTTCACTACTTACTACTAGGGTAAACTGGGGTAAAGTGAACTGTTTTTGATATTTAAAGGAAATATTTTCAAAATAAAAGCCAAAACATTTTGCAGTTTTCAAAATTTATACCATTTAAAGTATTAGGTACAATATAAAACAAAATACTAAGATTAAAAGCTATTTTTACAATATTAAATATATATTCAAAAAAAACATGTCCACTAGTTCACTTTACCCCCACATTGGGGTAAAGTGAACTACTTCATCTTTAACTCTTTTGTGTTTGTTATTTCTAATAAATTAGTTTTTTTATTTTGTATTTTGCCTTGCTGCTTGATCTTTCTTTTAAAGCATTCGTTTTCTTCATCATTTAATCTTTTAAATGCATCTTCTGATGTAAGACACTCACCTCCATAGTGTCTTTTTATTTTTTTTGTAGGTCGTTTGTTGTATGAACGACCATCACCCTTTGTGGCCATTAACTGTTCTTTCACTATTTCTCTAATGATTTTATTTCCAGTAGAACAATCTACATTTGATATTGATAGTTGATTTATTTTTTCAAAAAATCAGAAAATGCAGATAAAAGTGAAACAAGATATTTTTCAGCATCAGCAGATAATCGGTTTGGTCGCCCTTCACCAACTTTTGAGCATTTTATGCCTAGAAGATGTCTTGCAATTGTACTTCTTGGAACACCATATTCTTTTGATGCAGCATACGAAGTCATTTCTTTATTTTTAACTTTCGAAATGGCATTTTGCAACAAATTAGGTGCATATGTTTTTCTTCGAGATTCTTTTTTCTTAATGTAGTTTCTTGGCATTATTTCAATATATTATATTTCTGAAAATAATTTTAAGAATATTTAAAAAAAAAACAACTTATTTTAAGAGTAAACAATTTAGTTAAGTAATTACAATTTATATATTCAGTTCTACTAAAAATATTTGATGAAAAAACATAAGAAAAAGACTAGTTCACTTTACCCCCAATAGGCAGAAAAATAAGGGGTAAAGTGAACTAAATTGATTTACAAACTAAAAGCTTAGCTTTTTTATATTATGATAAAAACTACAATTTTTTTTTAACAGCATTATATTATCTTTAAAATGTATATAAATTATATAACTGATGTTCGCATTAATAACAACAAATCATGAATTTACTAAAACCCATAGCAAAGTTTGAGATCGTAATTTTAAAACTTCCGCCAAACTCGCTTTTTAAAATGGCTATTACATCAAAACAAAGGCTATATTTTATTAATTTTTTTATTTAAAAAATTTCAAAATGTTGTATTAAGCAAAAATAATGCTAAATTACTTAACAAAAAGTTTTTTAAACATGATAACTTTTTAGTTTAAAAAAATAGTTCACTTTACCCCTAGTTCACTTTACCCCAGTTTACCCTACACTAAAGCTGACTGGAATTTTCTTCGTGACTGTCCTTGGGCGTCTTTTCCCTTTTAGCTGAAAAATGCGCTTTCTACGTAACATCCTAAATGCAGACAGGGATGAAAGGTTTTATTCCTTCTTGTCCATTCTAAACAAAGCCTCATTCTACTCTAAGGTTTTCACCTTCTTGCGCAGCTTCTTTATCTAACTGTAATCATTTTTTTTATCTTTTTCAAAAGAACAACTCTCTCGAGAACAAATGTTTTTTTTTTTTTTACTGCAAGAAATCCATGTAAAAAGGTGCTCTTAGATGATAAGATACATTATTCTCAGCTCACTAAATCTCGTGTCTCAGAAGTTAGGCTCTAGAGACTTTTTGATAATCTTCAACAGCATCGTTAACAAAGGAAGGTCAATATTCCATCTCTCATTCATGGGATTAATCTTATTACCTCTTCCAAGGATAAGGCAGAACTATTTGCAAAGATCTTTTCTTCTAATTCTAATCTAATGGCCATTCTCTTTTCTTCTAATTCTAATCTAAAAGAATGGCCATTCTCTTCCTTTCATTCCTAATAAACATGTTAACCCATTATTAGACATTCAAACCATTCCAGCTTTCTTTGCTAAAGTCACATCTCAATTAAACTCTTCAATGGCTTGTGGTTCAGACAACATTCCTGTCCTTGTCTTACAAAATTTTCTCTACAACTCCCTTCAACTTTGTCTAAACTATTTAATAAATGCTTGACTAAGTCTTTTTTCCTGCCTGCTAGAAATCGACATCTGTTGTTCCAATTTTCAAAAACATTGTTAAACATTTTGACCCATTAATCATTAGATTAGTCTTCTTTTTGTTATTAGCAAGGTCTTTGTATTTTTCATCAACAAATTTCTTACATCCCATCTTGAGTCAAAAAACTTACTGTCAGACAATCAGTAGGGTTTTCAATCCTTTCGCTCTACGGCTAACTTGCTAACTGCTGTGACTGAAAGATTTTATTGTGCATTAGATGAAGGCAGAGAAACAAGGGCTATTGCTCTTGACATATCTAAGGTTTTGGAAATATTTTGGTATGCTGGTCTTCTCCATATGCTTGTTTCATGTAGTGTATCTGGGAAAGTTTTTGAGATTATCAAATCGTTTTTTTTTTTACTGCTTTATTAAAGTCATCCTCGAAAACCAACACTCTTCTTTATTTTCAGTAATTTCTAGGTTAAATTCCTTGGCCCTGTTTTGTTTCTAATCTACATTAAGGATCTTCTTGACAACCTTACATCTAAAGTAGCTCTTTTTGGTCATGACTTAACTTTTTACTCCTGTCTTAACAAAATGTTTTCTCTTTTCAATTGCTTAGCGCAGGCAGCCAATCTTAAATCTGATCTCACTTTTATAATAGATTCACAGGTTATTTACTACAAACAACTATTGCAGTACTGTTGACATTCTTATATTAATGAATGGCAACTCTTTCACTGAGTCCTCTTCTTTACGGCTTCTTGGATTATTGTTTTTTAACAACCCTTCATGAAATATCATATGTACAATTGATTACTAAATTAGCATCTGCTAAGGTTGCTTCTCTTCATTGTACTTGTTATTTTCTCTCTCCTGATTACATTCTCTACCTCTACAAATGAATTATTCATCCCTGTATAGAACTCTGTTGTCATATTTGGAATCTTCTAATGATGCTCTTCCTCTTCTAGAAACGATTTTAAATTGGAACCACTCTATCAGCTAAGCTTGAGCCTCTTTACCATTTTTGTAAACGCATTGTAAACGTAGTTGGACCCATACTATCTGCTAACCTTGAGCCTCTTTAACATTTTTGTAAGGTTTTTACAACAATGGTAAAGAGCATATGGTTTTTATGACTCTTTCTCTTTTCTACAAATACTATCATGTTCACTGCTTAAAGGAGCTATCATCCCTAACTAAAGCTCATTTTCGCCTGATTAGTCATTCAGCAAAGTTTCATTCTTTTGCTGCTGTTTTTGTCCCTGCATCCCTAAAAACTTGCATGTCCCTGCATCCCTAAAAACTTTTATTGGTCTTTTTTTTTTTTCCATACTCCAACCCTTTGGAACCTTTTTGTTTGGGGGTCAAGATTTTGGGTCCATGAACCTTATATGCATGTTATATGTTTATTGCAGCACATAAATTATGTGCTGCAATAAACAGCCTGTGAAATAATAATGATAAGACCATAAAATATTCACAATTTTTTAATATCAGATGATTACACTCACCCTGCCAAAATTTAACAAATTATTCAAACTTTTGTAAGAAAATTGTTTTAAAGCCCAAAAAATTGCCCCAAAAAGGCTTAGAACCTTAGTCTTTTTTGGGGGATATGTACAATTCCCTTACCAAAATTGTTTTTTAATAATTTTAGTACGGTGACTGTACATATATATAATGAACAACTCCTGAAATTTTCTATACAATTAGACAAACATATCACAAGATATTTATTGCAGCGTAAAAGAAACTCAAATATTGTGAAAAACATATTTGTTTTTTTAATTTAAAAGTTATTACAAAACAACAACTCCAGAGCTTTATTGAAAATACAGGAAAAAAAAAAATGTAAAAACTCTAATATTTGAAAAATATTTAACCAAAGGTAAAACACAAGGCTTTTAGTTTTTCTAAGAGTAATGTATGTAAATATAATAATTGTTTTTAAAAATCATGACTTTTAAAAATTATGACATAATAATTGTTTTTAAAAATCATATCATAATAATTGTTTTTAAAAATCATGACTTTCAAGAAAATAAACATGAAACAGTTCTGGCACCAGCCTTAAGAACTGAATCCATTTCAAGAGTATATGGTACAACACTCTAAAACACCTATTATCTAATATAAACAAACCATTGCTAAGACCTTTGCTAAGGAAAAATTTTAACTTTATTACAAAACTTACTATTTTAGAAATTTTCAAAATCATTTGCTATAATGCTATAAAAATCATTTTCAAAATCATTTGCTATAATGCTATAAAAATCATTTTAAAAATCATTTGCTATAATGCTATAAAAATCATTTTAAAAATCATTTGCTATAATGATCTATATATATTTGGAATTTAGAATTTTTGGGTTTTAAGAATATGTAATTTTTGAAAATTAGATTTTTTTTTAGTATATAACCACCTTTATTTTTAGCTTATTTTTTATTTATTTTTTCGTTTGGAAATTGATTTTTTTTCATTATTTAAGAAATTTTTTTTTTGTAATTATTCTTTAAATAATTTTTTAGATAAAGTGGTCAGTATTTTTGATCTATCTAAGGTCTATTGGAATTTTTATGGTAATCTTGGCTCTTTTTCTCGGTTTAATAACAGAAGGGTTTTCACTTTGTTCACGCATATGGCTAGCTGATTGGAGTTCTAACAACAATGTTTCAGAAAACAAACGAAATATATATCTAGAGGTATTTGGTGGATTAGGTATTGCTCAAGGTTTTTTTACTTGGTTAGAAGCTTATATTATAGGATTTGGAGTTACAAAAGCATCAAAAGATCTTCATGATAAACTTCTAAAAAATGTTCTTCGATGTCCTATGCTCTTTTTTGAGACTACTCCAGTAGGAAGACTAATCAATCGGTTTTCAAAAGATATTAACATAATTGATGAATCAATTCCAAAAAGTTTAAAATCTCTTCTACCGTGCTTTTTTACTATATGCAGTGCTGTTGTTACTATTTCTTATACTGTTCCTTTATTTATTGCTCCTCTCTTACCAATTGCAGTTATTTACATTTTAATTCAGGTTATTTTGATTTACTTACTCTGGTTAGGTAATATACTTGAATTACTGTTTTTATTGTCATTTTCATCTAGTTAAAAATAAAAAAGACATAAATTAAAATTACAAAAAGTAATTAAGAAATCAGTGTTATTTAACCAAAGAAATTGTTGTTATCAAATAAACATCAAATAAAATGTGTTTGCTATATAATAACTAGTTTTTTTTTCAATTTTTTTCTAGAGGGTTTATGTGACCTTTTCAGTTCAGATTAGGCGTATTGAATCTGTTAGGCGATCGCCAATCTACAACCATTTCTTTGAAAGTATTAATGGTGTATCTACTATACGTGCATATCACTTAAATGATGAGTTTGTATCAGAAAATGAATCTAAAATTGATTTTAATCAAGAAGCAAATTTTCAGATACTTTGCTCAAACAGGTAATTTAAAAGGTAACACAGGTAAAAACTAAATACCAATTACATTACAAAATATTACATTATATTTTGTCTTTCATTACAAAATATTACATTATATTTTTTTATTACAAAATCTTTTTTCTTTTTTTTTCCATTACAAAACCTTTTCTTTTTTTAAATTTATACAGAGTATGAAAACTTTTTTTTTTAATATATATGTTACAAAGTTTATTTATTATGATTTTTATAAATATAAAGTTATTATAAGTTTAATTTAAAGTTTATATTGTTTTCAAAATCAGCTCAATGTTTGTAATGTTATGTAGCTCATGCAGGGCCGTCCTGAGAGGGGCTTAGGGTTGTCTAACCCCCTAGGAAATCAATTAGGTGGCATATTTGTATAAAAATTGAATTTATAAATTGGATATGTAGTTGGCAGTCTGGAAATGTTAGCCATCAATGTTTTTTTTGTTGTATTTTTTAAAGATCTTAGTCGGCAAAAATACCTTACAAGGTAAAAAACACATTTCCCCTCACCCCCTCCTTTAAGATCTTTTCATATATATATATATATATATATATATATATATATATATATATATATATATATATATATATATACATATGTACATACATACATACATACATACATACATACATACATACATACATACATACATACATACATACATACATCAGGCTTGGTCGGGAAGCGGAAGCGATGGCTCTCGATTGCTGACCACGTAAATAATACTTAGTTGCGAAAAGCTGGCCAGATTTATTAGTCGTTTTGAGAACATCAGACAAAATAAATTTAACAAATTAGACAAATAAAATATCTTTAAACCCAAAAAACTTAAAGCTAAATAAATTACGTTTAGAACAAATATTTTCGAAAGATCGCTCTTTTGTAATTTTTTTATAAAATTAAGCGATGTTTTTTATATAAAGTAACAACTTACGATCGTTTAAAAAGGAAACAACTTTTTATTTGGCAAAGTTCGCAAGTTTTAGTTTTATATAAGCTAAATTATTTTATAAATAAAAAAGTTAATTTTTTCAATACCTATTTTATGTTTCGCGTAGTTTGAAAAGTTTAACATATTTGAAGCAATTCTTCTTAGTAAGATAAACAAATGAAATAATTAAATCTTTGAATTACTATAGAAATTAAAAACAAGATCGAAAAGTCAACTGAAAAGGTTAAAAATACTTTATGACAAGGAAGCGAAACTGCTTCACAATATCGCTTATAATGTTTAGTGAGTGGGCTTTTTAATTTTAATTATTTAAAGCAGAAAAAAGTATAACGAGTTTCAAGGATGGCAACTTAGGCGTAAATAATTAGAGTTGGTAAACCAACATATAAAAACTTTTCTTTATATCTAATTATTTGCTATATATATTTGTGTTCTGTCGTGACCTCAGGTGCAGTGCTTGTTCATCTGCAAGTTACTTTGTATGCGTTGTTTGTGTTTAGTAACCAGAAACTTCTTATACGTTTGTTACATAATTAGTTTTATTAACTATAACGATTATAACTTTATTGAAAACGCAATTATTTTTGTAAGTCTTTGTTTAAATCATAAAAATTGCTTTAAAAGATACATTACGATAAAAAACAGATACAAAAAATTATATTTACATAAAGAATAATTTTAAATAAAAAATAAGAATATACTAATAATATGTATGTATGTATCAGGCTTCCCGACCAAGCCTGATACATACATACATACATGCATACATACATACATACATACATACATACATACATACATACATACGTACATACGTACATACGTACATACGTACATACATACATACATACATACATACATACATACATACATACATACATACATACATACATACATACATACATACATACATACTTGATAGACTTATTTGAGTTAACACTATACTTAAATGTTATAAAGTTTAAAAATTTGTAAACTTTTAAAAACTATTTGAGCACACAAGTTACCTTAGAAAATAATTTATTTATTTAGCTTTTGACACATTAGGGGGTATAATTAAAGCCAAGTTCCTAACTTGGTTCTCAATTAATGCAAAATTTTATTAAATTTTAATGTATCCTATATGTATTATTAAATATTGCATTGACAGTTTATGAGTTATAACTTTATAAAAAAAAAAAAGAATAAAGAATTCAACAATATGAAAATTAATTTTATGAGATAAGCAAATTTATTTGTTTGTTTGTTTTTTTAATAATTTTAAATGATTTAATTTTTTCAGGGAAACATTAATATGTTAATAATAAAATTTATATTGTAATAAAGTTCATGGAACTTTGTTGTAGTTTTCAGATCTAAGTTTTAATGGCTTCTAACCTAAGATTCATAAAAATTCAAAAGTCTAAAATAAGGTTGTATTTTAACAATTAAGAACTTGTAGCTGATAGCAAGTAGCTGTACTTGTAGCTGATAGCAAGTAGCTGTATTTGCTGCTGATAGCAAGTAGCTGAATCATAAGATTTAGATTTATAACATTGAATTTAATAACAATGAGATTATGATGTTTTTTTAATTTGAGATTTTTAAGGTTTTATTAGATTTACAGTAGATAAAACCTTACAAAACTAAAATTTAAGAAAAGTTGCCAGTGTAATTAAATTAACTTGCATTTCACACAAGTCTCGAATTTATTAGAATGATGCTTTTTAATTCTCACTAGCTCGTTTATAAGATCGTTTATAAGATTTAAGTTTAAAACTTTATAAAAAACCTTATTTATTAGTCAAAATAGTAACTAATTTTTATTAAATAGATTTTTGGAGTGACTACACAGTAAACAAATATATTTCTTAAAAAAACTTGGTTCTGTAAATAAAAAATTTACATTTCAAAGAATAAATCCTAAACCTAAATTCCTAAAATTTTTGCAGTCTGAGACTTAAACAGTGCATTAAAACTCATGCTTCAGGCTCTTTTGATACCCTTCTCATCAATTTTACTGAAATGGCTGGTAATTTCAAATATTAAACCTTAGGCGATGTTATCTAAAGTAAATATTTTTCTAATTAGCCTAAAATAATATATTAAAAATTTTATGTGGCAGTTTAAAATAAAATTTATATACAAGTATTTATTTTTAGAACGTCACTTAAAAGACACAAAGTGTTTTTTAAGTGACGTTCTAAAAATCTCTTTTATTCTAATCACGATTATCATGAAACCATAAACATAACAAGAAAAAAAAAAAGCATATAAATAACAAATATTTATATATACAAGTAAGAAAAAACAAGCATGATATGTTAAAGCCGAACCAAAAATAGTAAATAAGAATAATAAAATGATAAAACCAAAATGATAAAATTGTAAACATGAAATAAGATAACATAGTATAATAATAAAATAATAAAATTAAACAACAAAAAAAAACATAGATAAATAAAAAGATAATAAATGATAAAAACTAATAAAGTATTTTAATGTAAAACCAAATTTATTTTTAATTTAGATGGTTAGAACTTTTGTTAGAAACATGCGGCAATCTTATTACTTTTTGTACAGCAATGATATGTATTAGCCAACGAGAAAGGTTAACTCCTGGAATGGTTGGCCTATCTATTTCTTATGCACTGCAGGTTAAATTTAATTCTGAATAAAGGTTTTAAGTAAACAAAGTTGTTTTTGTTAAATAAAAACTTATTTTATTATAAAAATTTTAAGTTATTTAATAATTACTTGTAAATAGTAATAGTATTGATATCTCATAACATGATAAGATTAGGAACACGCTTAAAAAAGCATCACAGAATTTTAATTTGTTGTTTTTCATCATAAAATAAGCCCCAAACATGTCCTTAGAAGTAGCATGTTTAACTTGTTTCTTTATGCACCTTGTTTTTAAGGTTGTGTTGCAAAGTCGAAAAGTAAGTGCTGCAATAAAATTTTAAGAAAATAAGTTTTCTCTTTAACTATATTTGAATACACTAAAGAAACAAATACTTTTTATTTAATGTTTATGGTACCCCATTTTATATTTTTTCAACTCTTATTACATTTTTTTACCTCATATTATATTTTTTTACCCCATATTATACTTTTTTATCCCATAATATATTTTTTTAAACCATATTATATTTTTTTACCCTATGTTATATCTTTTTACCCCATTTTATATTTTCTTACCCCATATTATATTTTTTAACCTCGTATTATTTTTTTTTTACCCCATGTTATACTTTGTTACCCCATAATATATTTTTTTAGCATAATTATTTACATAATTTATTAATTATTTATTATAAAGTTATAAATGTAAAAAATGCAAACATTACTTGGATATTACAAGTTTTAAATAAAATATAAACTAAAAACCAAGATATGTTCATATATAGTTATACAAATATCTTTTTTCAATTAGTTATTACAAATTATTAAAAATAAACAATTATCAAACCTTTTTCTTTAACAAGCTGTTATTTCTTCTGTAGGATTTAAATTATTCATAGATTATTTACTTCAATAAATATTTTTATTTGATTAATATGTTAATTTGGTTAAGAAATTTTTTTTACCATTATTTATTTGCTTCTCCTAAAGCAAACCATTTTTTTCCTTGGTCTTAACTATATTATAAACTTTTTTCATACATTTTAATATTTTTTTAAATATATTTTTACTTATTACATAAAAAAAAACTTCTGATATGCATTACTAATATTGGCATGATACTCTCCCACACCTGGTATAATTGCCCCTGAATAAATTGTTCTATTATTCAACATCAATATATTAACCAAAGTTATGATATTAATTTATATTAAGTACTTATTAAGAGTTCATTAAATAAATATTATATGTCATAAAGTTTATATGTCAAACATATTAAGGGTTGTCAAACATATTAAGGGTTTTCATTTCGTTAAATAAATTTCATTAAATAAATTTCATTAAATTTCAATAAATTTCATTAAATCGCACAATAAAGTTTTGTGTGCTATTTTAGGGATTCTGTTGTTTTTATCAATTATAGCTAAATCTAAAATATTTTCCTTATTAATCTTGTTTAGTTGAAACATTGGATTAAAAACCATTTGAAATAGGAAACTATTGTGTAACGTTGTAACAAAGCTATTTTCATATATATTTTTATATATATTTTCATATATATTTTCAGAAACTAAAACCATATTAGTTCGATTTAATTTTAGGTAAATTAAAGTCTCCATTAGTTAGAAGACAATCTGCTTCTTTTCGACTAATTGTACTGTTGGTTTATTTATGCATCATCCCATTTCATCCCAATAAAATTGTTCTGCTGGCTACTTTTTTTTACACCAAATATGCTCAACAAATACTTTATTAATTAATTAACTATTTTTTAATATGGTAATAAAAATTTCAGAAATTCAATAGTTCTTTTAATAAAAATACAAATGCACCCTCTCCTTTATTATCATTACAGTCTCCTATATATATTGTAGCTAGTTAAGCCTAAATATGTATTAAAATAAAACCAAGTTTCGCATTATAACATTCCATTATAACTAGGAATGCCAGATGCAGGGTCGCCTAAAGGAGGACATAGAAAAGCCAAAAGGAGAACAAGGGAGGAAAAACCTAATTTTAGTAATACCTAAAGGAAAGTTTTTGAGATTGTGGGGCCCTATTGGCTTTTTTTATAGTGGGGGAGGGGGCAAAACTTCGACCCTCTAGCCACAGTATTGACACCGGATGAGAATAAACAACAAAGTATAATATCTGTAAATATCATATAAGAACAATATATTTTAAAGTACAAAAAACACTGGGTAAATTGCCAACATTGTAAATTATTATTTGATAATAATAAAACCGGAAATATATCAGAGTTGTCGCAACAAAAATAAACAAACAAGTTTTTAAATTATCTTAATCTTTTTTTTTCTGGGTTACCCATCTATTTAACCAAATTGTTGTAACCTCGGGTAATTTTCAGCAAATTACAGTTTTAATTAATATTTTTCTATTAAAAAAAAAGAATGCAAAATTTAGGGTGTTATAATATATTAAATTATTTACAATAAAATATTTGTCAAATACCATATTTATTGAAAAAGAAAACTAAAAATTTATGTTTTACGCGAAAGACTTTCATTAGCAATCTTATATTTATAAAACTGTTTATAGATAATATTCTTTAAACTCTTTAAAAACAACTAAAAGTCTACTCCTTTCCTTTGTCTATTTTGAGCATTAATCAACGAGAAAACTCTTTCAATATTTCCGTTGTGTCCTGGGATACAAAAAAATGCTTCAAAAACTTCTTTAAAAAGCAGTTTGTATTTGGACTAATTTTTAAAAAATAAAACTCAATATTCATGCAAGAAAATTTTTAAAAATTGCTCATTTTTGCCTTGCCTAAATGGTTTATGAGAATGGTATTGGTCACACAATTGTATATCATCTAAAGTGATACATTTTTTCTTTCAGTTATAAAATGCATACCAAAAGGTCATCAAATGTGTTGTCTTTTACTTTATTTAAATGCATTCAACCAAAGCACTAAATTAAGAATCCCTGCTTTATACACAGCTTAATTATCCTTTAGATTTACTATTACGAGTAGTAAAAAGGTTTTGAAAATTATTTAAAAAAAGAAAAGTTTCTTTAAATATTAAAATAACTTGGAGCAAAAAAAATTATACCATCTAAAGCTCTTGTTTTGGACTTTATACGCTGATAAAACCATGCTAATTCCAAATAAAAGAATTTGAATAATTTGTTAATTGCCTTAATTACACCAAGTAAGCTTTTGAAAATTTATTTTTAAAAAATATTTTTTATCATAACAGGTGGTTGATCTTTAGAAATAAATGATATTTTTAAAACATCAAATAGCCTCACCAATCTTTCAATAGCTGGAATCAAACTTAATTATCTTCTTTAGAGTGATAGAGTAGTTGATGATAACTAACGTCCTCATATATGCATAAATCTTTTAAAGCTTCTGTTCTAACTGTGTACATAGAAAAATAATTAAATATTTTCAAGACAACAGTTTCAACAGCAATCATCATTAAATCTGTACCATGCTAAATGCAGTTGTGCAAAATGTGGGCAAAATATCCAACACCAACCAACGGTTTTTTTAAGGCTTCCTTGAAATTCGAGAAAACATTTTTGCCTACTTTTCTATTAATGCCTTGAAAATTTACATTAGCATCTTCTCCAGCAAAAACAACACATTTAGACAACAATTCTTATGTCTGGAGGGTTTCAGAGGTTTTAGTTGGTGTGTTATCTAACGTAAGAATTTTAATTTGGATACTACCTGCTTCCAGTGAAAGTATTGAAATAACGATCTGAAATTTTTTTTTTGAAATGTGATCTGTGGAAAGACCGAAACATGAAATGCTATCTAATGATTTCACCAGTTGATTAACAGTGTGGGGCCTATTACCTGATTCATGATTGTCTCAGTTTTTGTTTTTGAACATGCAATATTTTTTACAATTTCCGAACCTTTAAATAATTTGTTTATTAAACCAGCTGTGCAGGCCATCGTGTTGTAAGACTTATGATAACAAACTGTATGAAATACTGAAGTGGCTTTAGCTGCATGGGCTTTTTGAAATATCTTTGAGTTTTTAGGTTGAAAAAAGGATGTCTACTTATTTGATGACACCGACACTTTGATTAGGTTTTTATGTTTCTCGCTGTTAACATATCTCATTTGTTAGCAACGGACTCGCAAACCCTACACTTTGCCTCATTCTCGTTGCATCCTTTAGCAAAACATGAATAGTTTGTTTTCATAGAACTTGAAAACTTGTATTTTCTCTTTGTAGAAATTGAAGTCATTTTTATAAAAAAAGTTAAAATTCAATTAAAGTGCTGTTGCTGCTACAGGTGGAAAAACTTACATAGACAAAATGTTCTGAGCTAAAAATGTTTTAATTAAAAAAATATATATCTCTACTGTTTTTTCTTTTGATCTTATTTTTATTACAAAATGAAAAAATGTTTTATCTGGTTTTGTATGCCAATTATTTTTTATCTGGTTTTAATCAGAAATTTATTTCTAACTGGTTTTCAAAAAAGCGTTAACAATTCAACTTGACTATGGACAATTTTAAAAATCAATATAAGTGAGCAAAATGTCCCAAAAATAGTTATTTTTAATGTTTAATACTTTTATAAATGAATGAGTCTTTTTTTTAAATGATGAGTTGTATTGTTTTGTAAGTCTACTCCTCATTTATAAGTTCAATTTTTGAAAATTAAAATTTGAAAAATGACACATTTTGTGTTCATTAAAAGCAAATTTAATCATGCTACGTTAAAAACAACTTTACTAAAATTGTAAAATTAGTAAAAACTCTAAACGAAATATTTATCAGAACTATAACTAAAATGGCAGTTCCTCTGTGGTAATCATATTATAAACTAAAATGTCTGATTTAAATTATTTTTATCATTTTGGTTTTTTATTTGGCTAATATATCCTTTTAATTTCATTACTCTTAATTCCAAATGGAAAGGGTTTGTTTAATTCCTCTTGAAGTTAATTCTTTATTTAATTGAATTCTTTTTAAAACCAAGCTTTTTGTATAGTTTCTTTTTAGTTTATTCTGATTTGGATAAATTAAAACTTTTTTGAAATTTTTAGAACATTTTAATTGATTGGCAGCTTTTATAACGTTAAATTTATCTAAACTATTAGGTAGTTTAAGCAACAAATATTCCACTTGTTTCTATTGATGTTTAATTAATATTTTTATTTTTAAATTAATGAATTCCTTTTATTTTTATTAATTTTTATTTCACAAAAATAGTTTTTAAGAATTTTCTTATCAAATTGTTTTCTATTTGCAGCATCAGAATCAGTTGAATTTGGTGCACCAAAAACAATAGTATTTTTATATCTTTTAACTGCGTCTTTCGTTAAATCTATAATAATTTTTGTGTGAGCTTTATCTCTTCTGGGGATTTATTGCTATTTTTAAATAATTTGCTCCAATTCAAAACACTGGCTATTTCTTCTAATATTTTAACTTTTAATGTTAACAAAACGTTTTCATTCTCTAACTTATTAATTTTAGCTAAACTTTCAATGTCTCTACACTTTAATTCATAGTAAATAATACTTCCAGTTGCTGCTCAAAAACATAATTCGTTTTTGTTGCCATTTAATAAATGCTCTATACTAATATACTATTTATACCTCAGCACTAGTGATTAGCTTATAAAGATAAAACAGCTAAACTGCTTAAATGTTAAACTGTAGGTTTTTAGAATAAAACATGTCAGCCATATTTAATTATGCATTTTTTGTTTCTTTCTTTAACAAAATTTTGTGGTCTTTAAAGTAACTTTCCATCAGTTGAATCTTACCTCTTACAAAATTCACCAGAAATGCTTGCTCTTTGTGAGACTAATTTCAGTGGTAAATAAAATTACTATGATGTTTTATATATATAATACTATGCACATAATAATACTATTTTTATAAATTACCAATTTTATAATTTACCAATGAACATTTATTGTATAAATAAAAAGCTACTCTATTACATAAAAAACATGCTAAGCATATCGCTTTCGAAGCAACTTGGCAAAAATAAACAAGAAGTTAGATAACATTTTACAAATGATTTGTCAACCTCTTTTAGACTAGCGAAATTGTTTTTTTAAAGAATATCTGAATATTGCTCTCAAAATATCTAAACACTTTTATTATAAATATTTTAAAATCGACAAATGTATAAAAAAAGGCATAGTACCTATACAGGCAGCGAGTCTTTTTAAAATTTTTTATTTTATTTATTTAAAAATTTTAAATAAAACAATACCAATAAAACTGCTCTTGATTGAAAAATACATGCTACAATTATACCACTGGCATTACATTTTCAAACCAGCTGTAAACTATTCACAGAAACCCCATGCCAATCCTAATAGTAACCCAGATTTAAGTATCTGAGGGCTTGCAGTATCTTTTGAATTTTCACCCCAACAAATTATTTACTCCGAACAACTGTAGATATCACAATACTGTAGACACTTCTCAATTAATGAATGACAACCCTCTCACTGATTCCTCTTTTTTACATCTTGAATTATTGTTTAATACTGGCCTCTCACGGAAACCATACAATTAATTGGAATGTTAGCATCTGCTGAAATTGCTTCTCTAAGATTGCATCTGCTAAGATTGCAATTAATTTTGATAATAATAATCTTTTTATTATGCCAACTTTACTTTTGGTTCCATATTTTGCCTCTACAAGTCTCTTTAGTCCCTGTTTGTATTATTGTTGCCATAAAATTCATCTAATGATACCCTTTCCTTTCTTGACAAGATCCAAAAATGCATTCTAATGTAGTTGAGTCTAATTTATCTACCAAGCTTGAGCCCCTCTCCCATTGTAATAAGGTTGCATCTCTTTCTCTTTTCTACAAATAATATTATAGTTGCTGCTCAAAGGAGCTATCATCTCTAGTTCCTTTAACCGAAACTCATTCTAGCTTGACTTTTTACTCAGCAAAGTCACATCCTTTTACTGTATCTATTGAAAAATACGCTTTTTGAAATTTCTCTTTTTTCTCATGTTTTCCTGATTTAACCTACCTGTTTAAATCTTCTGTCAACTTTTTCCTTGCTCTTTAACTCTATTCTTTGTTTTCTAGTAACTTCAAATTTAATAGTGTTTGGTTGCAGTCTTATTAAGAGTGAGCTTGAATAATATATATATATATATATATATATATATATATATATATATATATATATATATATATATATATATATATATATATATATATATATATATATATATATATATATATATATATATATATGGGTCAAACCACTCGACATTTGAGTAAAAGATTTGAGGAGTATTTAAAATTACTAAAAATTTATCATAAAATTAACATATTTATTCAAAAATGAGTTGTTTTAATGTAGCCAATAAAGACTCTTTTTCAGTATTAGCCTACGCCTAAACTTCACATCACTTAAAAATCAAATAAGCATTACAGACTATGTGGGAAAAACCTGATCTTAATAAATAGGCTTTTAATTACAAGCTATTACTCCAGCTCTAACAGGCGTTTTCTATTACTCTATGACGTATGTATTACAATAATTATCCTACATTTTCCATTATTCTATGACTTAGTTTTTACACCTTTAATGTTTTCTTTCATTTCACTAACGAATAAAATTAAATTAATGTGTTCACTATATATTAAATTGTTTTTGTATTTAACAGTTTATACTTGAAAATGATTATTGTATAATCGAAACATGTTATTAAAACTGAAAAAAATTGTTATATAATATGAATATATTAGCCTATCCCATTTTGACCCTTATAAACAAATTTTAATGCGCATATTTTACGAGTGCCATAGAATATTCCCAAGGTATTGTTTTCTTAATGAAATTTTTTTATTTTAGATGACTATTTATTCTAGCGCTACATTTTGGAGTATACTCTTGGAGTAACCTATCAAACCGACTCGAGCAACTGTTCTACTACTAGCTGTGATCTACAATATCTTTCTTGTGTTTATTGCATATTTTTATATAATATGTTAATTATAATAAATTGAACTCGTTTTACAATACGACTCTAACGTAAAACAACATGGACATTTTTACATTTTTTGAGATTTTTTGGCATTTTCAAACGATTGGCGCTATAGAAATTTTCAAATCATTAACTATATAATAACGCCATTACAAGTAATGGAAGTTTTTTTATCTATATCGATTGTGCGCATTTTTATTACTATTATTTTTATAAACTGGTGGTATTTAAATAAATTGCAGGTTAAGGATATTTATTTATTAACACAAGAAACGTAGTTTTAAGAAAAATATTTCCTAATAAAAAAATTCAATTTTGCTGTGCTCGCAGTAAAATTTATCCAAGATAATGTAGAGCCTGTGATGAGCTTGAAGAAGCTACTTCAAATAAATATTTCTTGTAAAAAACCATTAAAAAAAAACAAAAGAGTGGATTCGAGGAAACTAGTTACGCCAACTGTTTTCTCACTTTCTCGTTATTGAATGGTTCTAATAATTTAAATTTTGATCCAATATCTAACTGCAAACTCTGAACCTTAAAAGTATATTAAAACATTCTTTTGCATATTTTCTTGAGATATTTGTCTTAAGCTGAAAATTTATATGTATGTAAATATATATTGTACATTTGCAGCGTTTAAACGTTGAATTCTGAAGAAAATTTGCTTCAGAAACAAGAGACCTTGGCAGTGACAGATCCAGGATTTTTTGGTGTTTGAGATAGCTAACATGGAGCAACATCCAAAAATTTGTATTTTTATATTTATGTCCAATAATGGGAACAAAAAAAGCCCTAAAATTTTATCCCCCTGCCCCAAATGTAAATACAACAAGTTGATAATATAATTTTTTTGCTATTCTTAGCTAAATTTATATTCATTGATAGATTTTAAATATTGTTTTACAATCTCTAAGCGTTCAAAAATATGACTATATAAAATTTGTTACCCCCTCAAATTTAGGGGGGTTTTATGAACTCTGAGAGATATTACTATGAAACTTAAAATTTATCAATGAATATAAACAAAGTTAAGAATTTTAAAAAAATTATTTTTCTAACTTTTTGCTCTCACATTTGGGGCAGGGGGGAAAAAATTGTAATTTTTTTTGTTTCCAGCCTCCAATCATTGCAATATTTTGCAAAGCATCATTATTTGACATAAGTATAAACATACAAATGTTTTGAGTTTGTGCCATGTCTGTTAGCTATCTCAAACACCATAAAAAGCTGGATCCTTCACTGATCTGTGGTTCAATGTCTACTCCAGGCTTTTTTAGACATAAAACAAGCATAAACTTACATGCTCTTTAGTGGTGTTCTGTGATGCGACCATTAGTTTTCTTGGAGCACCTAAAAAAGCCACACAAAAAATGTGTATATATATTTTTGAATCACATTGATACATTTTGATCTAGTTTTGTTTACAATAAAAGATCGAAAGTCCTTTACCCAATTATTTAAGGAAACCATTTTGGATTTAGATTTGTTTGATCTAAGGCTCCAGCAACAGTATTTTGAAAAACCAAACATCATTTGATAACAAAATGAGGCAAAAATCATAAAGTTTGTTTTATGACTGGAAAAAAAATCAATAAAAAATCATAGTAGCCATTACAATAGCCAAAGTGTTAATTTATCGTAATCAGTGTTAAAAAAACATTTTTCTTAAATTAATAAGCACAGTGTTTTTTTTTAGTTCAGGAACACATAAAGAAAACATCGTTGAACAAATTAACAGGATTTGACATCAGAATCTATTTGCGCCAAGGCTTGAATATTGTCCTAAATTTAATCAAAAATCATAAAAAGCATAATTTCGAACAATCGACGCGAATATCAAGAAAAAATTAAGAAATAAAAAATTTTTCATATAAATATGACCTCTACGCCAATCCCTAGCCATAAAAAATGATTTTCAAAATAATGTATATATATATATATATATATATATATATATATATATATATATATATATATATATATATATATATATATATATATATAGTTTTGATTTTAACTTTTCTTACCATTTTAAGCTTACACAAACATTGAACTGGCTTGTTGCAAAACTGAGTGAACTGGAAAGTAACATCATATCTGTTGAAAGAGTCAAAGAGTATATTGATGCTCCATCTGAGGTATTTATATACACACCGCATGATGTTGCAATCTTTAAGTAAATTTTAAAGTATTACTTAGGTAAAAATTTGATCAGGTTTTATTTTTTTGTTTGTTTTTCAGAAATTGTTATCATTCCATAGTTCTAAAATAATTTATATTTGGTATTTTTCTTAAATACCAAATATAAATTATTTTAGAAAATTTGTGTGTTGGTATCAAACGCTATTTATTAAACTGTATTTTGGAATAGATTTTTTTCATGCAATAAATTTAACACCTATTTATGAATTCCAACTTTATCAGCTTCCTACAATGGAACAGTTTTAAGACATTATCAGTATCTTATCAGTTCTAGATCTAATTGATTTAAAAGCCTAAATACAAACTTTGCATCTGCAACTAGAAAAAATTTTGATTTGGTATGCTAAGAAAACACTACAAGTCAGTAAGAAAATGAAGATTTTTGTCTCCTATAAAAAAATAGTAAACCTCTGAAAACTTTATGGACTTGGCAACTATTTGATTTCTGAACCGAAAAGTTTGTGAAGCAAAAAATGTCAGCTTATGGTACAACAACAAAAACTAACTTGAAAGATAGAATGCAAAGAACAAAAAATTGTAGTGTTATAAGTAAAGACATTATAATATTATTTCATAATATGTGGAATAATGATATTATATACTTAGATTTGATGTGTAGAGCATCTTATTATATAACTATATGAGGTTTTTTTTAGAGTATAACGGAAGATCTTTTTAATATTGGCAAAGCAAACATAAAATAACAACAAAAAAACAAAACGACTTTAATGGAAGAATGGAACTAATGAAACTTTAATTTTTACTTTGATTTATTGAAGATCAGAGGAATGAAAGAGTTCAATTCATTAGTCACATTGGAGAAAAACAATTAGAAGCAAGAGTTGAAGGAGAATGGGGAGATACGCAAGGTATGAAGAATACAGGAAGAAATCAAGGTATGAAGAATACAGGAAAAAAATTAATTTGTGGCAGATGGTGCTTGTAAACACATAATTGAAAATGAAAAAGGTATTACTATATGCCTTAAAGCTGATAAATGCCTTTTAGCTGATTATGTGAAGAATATCTTGCTTTTTATTTTAACATCAAATTTGATAAGTTAAAAGATTTTAAAATTTATTACCTTGGTGCTCATCATTCAGCTTGTTTTATGGCAGATTCCAAACATCTCCTAGTTCTTGAAATTTCATCACAAGTAATTGATTATTTACATGAACAACAAAAAGAATATGTTTCTAAGATGTTTTTTATAATCAAAATTTTCTATGCACCCATTCTAGTCTTGTTAAGCATTTTTTTTTTAATGACTGTAGAACTTTTAATAATGCACAAATTATACAAATAGAATGGAGCTTAAAGGCAGGTAACACACTATTGAAGAGTATGCAAGCTCATTCTTAGTATTTGTCTCCTAAAACAGTTATTATGATTTTAGCTGATTCGCGTCTTGATTTGCAAACTAAATCAGTCATTTTAGAAACTTTACTTCAGCGTAAAGTGCTTAACATTGAACTTGTAAACTTTGAAAAGCCAACGGTTGTTGTTCTTTATAACACTCAATTGAAAGGTTTAATTACAAAGGAAAGTTGGTTTGTTTTTATAAAGTTGGATTTAGCAAGTGATATTAAGGTTTGATTCATAATAAAGGCAACTTAATGTATCATCAGCAAACAGTGCCACCTTGGATGTGTGAATTTTTAGATGATTGTTAATGTAAATTAAAAAAAGTGTAGAGCCAAGGATAGAACCTTGAGGAACCTCTGAAGTTATAAGATATGAAGAAGAGTGCTGTTGATCGAGGACAAATTTAATACTACGATTGATAAGAAAGAATTCAATAATCTTAAAGATGTTACCTGATACATACACACAAAACCCTTCAAAAACAACTTTTATATTGGAGTAATTTCTTTTTGTAAATGTAATCTAGAGACCCCCAGCACTCTAAGATGTAATTTTTTCTCTACTGCAATTTTTGCGCTCAGTATATCAATTTTACAACAAAAATGGCAACAAAAATAAAATTTTAAATATTGGTGAAAATGTAAAGAGTCATACAAAAATGAAATACAAGGACAGCAAGACAATTTTACAACATTTTAATTTCTTAAAAGTTTATATTAGTCCATTGACATCATATATTGAAATAAGAAGAAGAAATATGAAAATTTATTTTTTATGCTTGCTTTATTTCAAAGTGTTTTTCAATAAAACCCCTTAAAATGCGCAACATTTTCTTTAACACTTACCTTTATTCAAGCAGAAAAACACTAGGTTGCACATATAATCTACTTTATGTTACATTCTCATACATATATATATATATATATATATATATATATATATATATATATATATATATATATATATATATATATATATATATATATATATATATATGTATATATATATATATATATATATATATATATATATATGTAATAGGGCCCTGCAAATTGTCAGTTTTTGTTTCGAATCAAATCTCGAATCAAAGGAGTTCTTGATTCGCGATTGGAATCACGTTTCGAATCAACATTTTGAAGTCTAAATTTAAGCAATTTTTTTTAATAACATATATTTCAAAATAAAATAAAATAAAACAATTGTATTATTTCTTTATTGATGCTTCTTGCACTGGTTAACCTTTTTAATGTCAGTTTTT